ATTATACTGCACTATATTAAATTATTTACAAATTGCACTGAAACCACTTCTTATTGCTTATTATACATAAAAATCCTATATGCTATATGTTCTACTATAAATCTACTATAAATATAATTTAACTTATCTATATATACATTTTTTATTCCTTATCTATCTGTAAATAAATTTAATTTGTTACTGCTTTTTCTACTCCATAAATATTATATCTTTAATTGTTAAATTATTTTGCACTACATATTATTAAAAAATTATAATAAGTACATTCTTTTAGTATGATATAAATATATTTATCTATATTGTCTAATTTATCTGCTTGCTAATAAACTCTGTGTAGTTTATAAATAATTAAAATTTTTCTTAAGAAAATTATGTTTTGCGATTATGCTTATAAGATTGCTGAGACTATTTGGTAGCGATCTCAAAATTTGTCTTATAAATATTGTTTAAATACCACTTTTTTATATGTTAGAAGGTTTATACATAATTCTATTTAATCAAAGCTTTGTTAATAATATAACAAACAATACTCTTGTCTGTGGTAGCTAAATGGAGGTCTTCTCTAAGTGTATCTGTTTTAATACATATTCATTAGTTGCGTATATATAACTGATTGACCGAGAAGGGCTGTAAATAATTCCTATAGAGTCCTTATCTATGCTAAATCACTAGCCTAAAATAATGTAATGAAGAACATTGCGATGACAAATTCTTTACACCAATTATAAAAAAACTCATAGGTTCATTTAAAATATCTACTTTAAATTAACAAAATTTAATTTAAAATTAATTTAATTAATATTATAATATACTAATACAAGAGTGATTTAAACATTTATGTTAATGATTTTAAATGAATTTGTTCGACAGACCAAGGAAATTTTAAAGAAACAATACCCGTATTTTAATATGTTAGTTACGGCACAAAGGATACGTGGTAATCCCCGGTTCTTATTACAGATTTTTTAGACTTCTTACATTTATTTCACAAAGTTGAGTTATGTTATATCAATTAAGTGCTAAGTTCCAACTCCTCAGTTAGATGTAGTGCAAAATATGTTTAAAATATAAAAAGATATTACATATCAAATATTATTTTCTTAATTAATTATTTTAATACTATCAACTATTTCCTAATACTATATGCATTCTAACTATATATCTTAAATTTTATTATTATTATGAAAGTTACTAGGAATTAGTATATTATACTATATCTTAATAATAAATTAAATTTTACCATTCTGTATCTAATAACTACGATTATTAAGTTTTATTACTTACTACCTATGTACTACCTGTCTGCTATTATTAAATTTTAACTAATTTCTAGCTTTAACTATTGAATTAAAATAATTTAGCTGCTAACTTTCTATAGTTAGTTACTGCTTTCTACAAACTAATTATTGAGTACTATTAATTTAAATTAACTACAACCTAAATACTATCTATCTCTTATTATTAAATTATATTCAACTATTAATATATTTCTACTATTAATTTAAATTAATTAAGTTATTATCTATCTCTTGTTATTCTTTATATATTACTCATAGTATCTTATCCTATACTCTATTAATTTATCTAAACTGATTGCTTACCATTTACTTACTAACTGCTATTAAGTTGAATAAATGGTCACCTATATACTATTTTACTTCTATAATTAAATTTAATTCAACTATTTATTAACTTCCACTATTAAAGAAAAATATTTATAATTGATATTCTAACTATATTAATATCTATCTATCTATAAATTATAACCAATAATCACATCTTTAATCAACTACTATGTACTAGTAACTGAAATAAAATACCTACTATATACCCCATCCAAATACTGTATACTACTGCTAACTATTATACTATATACCACCTATTATTATAATTTAAAATTGTAATAATTTTATTGTTTATATTCAAAATTGATAATATATTAAACTTATTAACATATACAATTTACTTATTTATCCCTTATCAATATAAACTTTTATATAACCCCACACTGTACTGAAATAAATTTTAATAATTTTTTTATAATTTTTTATGCACTATATGCTATTATTCTATAATCAAACACAATTTTTATACTTCTAAAATATTTGTCTATAATATGTAGATTTTTTATTTTAATGCTTTTTATTTTCAATATTTTGTTTTTTAATTTAAATTATATTTTTGTTTAATTATTTTAATAATAATAATTAATTTTATTAATTTATATTTATTAATTAAAATATATTAGTAATATTTGATTTTATTTTATAAATATTTTTTTTTAGTCATTTCAGTTAAAGTATTTATTTATATTAATTTTCCTATTAAGTTGTTAAAAATATTTTTTATTTATATTTTATTTTTATTTAAAATGTTTTGATAGCAGAGACTAATGAAATCACGAGTATTGTGACGTATTGCAAACTAAACGATTTTTATAATACTTTTTTAATTCATAACATTAATGTTTTAAATATTAACTATTTCGAATAATTATTGTGCTATAAAATTTTAAAATTAATTTATATTTTAAAAATTAATTTAAAAAGAATTTCAATTAAACGTTTCACGCAATCAATGTGTATGCTTCTACTAGGCGAGCTAATAAATATCTTTATTTGTCAGAAGTACTCGTAAAAAAAAATAAAAAAAAAAATTAAAAAAAAATAAAAATAATAAAAATAAAAAAAAAAACGTAAACATTAAATTGGTTTTAATCTTTTTATAGATTTTTTATATGAATTTTTTATTTTCTATTTTTTATTCCATGCGATTTTGTTAAACCCATTTATTTTCTTTTTAATTTAAGTTTATCATAACATATATTCGTTTAATATTAAATAAAAATACTTTTCATCTTATTAAAAATTTTTTAATTCTTATTGAAAATATTAACTGATATAAGAACTTAAAATTTAATTTACAATTAATACAATTAACAATTTAAAGCATTTAAAAAAATAACAACAAAATATTTTGGCAGTATGTGGGTTTAAAATAAAAATTATTAAAATAAATATTTTAATAAAATTTTAAATTTTAAATGGACCACTGATAACTTCCTCGGCTTCTCGTTTGTGTACTTCTCCAACACCGGTGGCAGAAGTGGGAGCTTCATTCCGACCACAGTAAACAAGCTGTAGAGTTTGTTTTTTAAAGCAAATAATATACGTTAAATAAATATTAAAATTTATTTATGATATATTTTTTAAAATAATTATAGTTTTTTATTTACCTGTTTTCCAATTAAGTATTCAAAACGTGGTCGTACGAATGACCAAGCTCCCATATTTCTATGTTCCTCCTGACTCCAAATAAAAGCTGTATTGAAAAATGGTATACGAATTTTTATTTGTATTATCCATAAAAATTTTGTTCATACATATATATATATATATATATATGCATATATGTTAAATTCTAATCGTATATATGATTTTTAAAACTTGCAGCGTTGAACTTTTTAACTAAATCTTTAAAGACGTTTTCAATGTTAAAGTTAATTACATTTATTTTTTAAAAATTATTTTCTTTTTTATTTTAAGAACTTATTTCCAATAATCGAAAATATAATAAGTCAACGTAATGCTATTATATTAATAATTTCTTCTTTACTTACTCTTGGCGTTTTTATATTTTCCTAACTCTTCCTGCAGCTCGTGTATTGGGAACGGACTAAGTGACTCTAAACGCACAATTGCAGTATCCGTAATGCTTTTCGCTTTCCGTTCATCGTTCAAATTGTAGAAGTGTTTACCGCTGCAGAGTATAACTTTACGCACCCCCTCGACATTAGTAACTGCGGTGTCACCTGTCAGAAACAAAAGGAGCTTGTAAATTGCATTTCTTTATAACTGTAACAGTTACCCAAAACATTGTGGAAGTGTGTGCCTTCTTGGAAATCAGAGTGCGTGGAAGTGGCAGCCGATAAACGCAGGAGTATTTTCGGTGCAACCACTACAAGCGGTTTGCGGAAGTTGCGCAGAACTTGTCGGCGCAGCAAATGGAAATACTGTGCTGGTGTGGTGGGATTTACAATTTGTACATTCACATTATCGCTATCGGGTGCGGTTTCCTTTGAATCGCATAGCTGCAGAAAACGTTCAACGCGACATGAGCTATGCTCAGATGCAGTTCCATCGTAACCGTGTGGTAGCAGTATAACAAGTCCATTGCTGTCCATCCATTTAGCTTTAAAATTTAAATACAAAATTACTAACTTTGTTTCTCGCTATTCACACCTATGTGTGAATTGGAATTTTGTACTTACTTTCACCGGATATAATGAAATTATCAATTATGATTTGTGCACCATTTGCAAAGTCACCGAATTGTGCTTCCCATATAATCAAGTTGTTTGGATTGTCAATGGCCATGCCATACTCGTATGCTAGGACAGCTTCTTCAGATAAAATACTGTGTGCCACTTCTAATTTTCCACCTACACCACCCTGCATTTCATTGAGTGGTATATACATTTCATTATTTTGCTGATCCACTAACATGACATGACGATGAGAAAATGTGCCACGACCTACATCTTCACCACTGATACGCACATTATGCCCTTGGTACATCAGACTACCGATTGCCAATGCTTCGGCGGTAGCCCAATCGATTTTCTCGCCGGCATTCAACTTTTTTCGACGTCCCTCAATATGTGTTTTAAACAGATGCGGATGTACATGCTGCAATAAGAGACATCATACAT